CATGGTGCTAAGATAAAAACAGGGACGCGGGTGGCGCTGTGGGTAAAAGCCTCAGCGCCTAGGACTTGCCGATCGCATGGTCGGCGGTTCGAATCCCCGCGGCGGGGTGCGCTCCCGTTGCTCGGTCCCAGCGCCTGCCAACCTAGCAGTTCGAAAGCACCCTCGGGTGCAAGTAGATAAATAGGGACCGCTTACTAGCGGGAAGGTAAACGGCGTTTCTGTGTGCGGCTCTGGCTCGCCAGAGCAGCGATGTCACGCTGGCCACGTGACCCGGAAGTGTCTGCGGACAGCGCTGGCTCCCGGCCTATAGAGTGAGATGAGCGCACAACCCTATAGTCTGTCAAGACTGGCCCGTACGGGCAGGGGTACCTTTACCTTACCTTAAGATAAAAACTGAAATGACTAAAAAAGTTAAATGTAATTAAATAGACATTTGGTGTTTCTCTGTGGAGCGGGGTTGTAAAAAAAAAATCAGCTGAGCATGATCATTTCTTATGACTGATATGTATTGTAAATACACAGTGAGGGGGGAAATATATCAGAATAAAATCTTTAGGAACATAGGAAGCTGCCTTTTACAGAGTCAGACTATTGGTCCATCTAGCTCAAAACTGACTGCACTCATCTAGGGTTTGATGATCTCTCCCAGTCTACTCTGAGATGCTAGGTATTGAACCTGGAACCTTATGCAGAATGCACTATCACTGATCTACAGCACAATGCTACATTTTAACCTCAAAAACCAATTTGATTCCCGGTACATTTTCAAAGGGGGTGGGATGTAAAAGGCAAGACAGTGCAATAGCTTTCTTGAAGACTGACAGAAGCTTTCTATGTATGTTCAGAATCACATTATGTGTTTCAACACTGAGCTGTCTACCCAAACGCCTCCCATACTTGTTTTTAAGGTGGTCAATAAAAAAATAGGGTGGAAGAATTTAAAATACATTGCTGTGCCATTCATATCGGGATAAAAGTTGTTCAGGGTAAAAATTAAATAATTCATGATGAAACCTATCCCAGTTGCTGCAGACATTTTAAAGATCTAGGAAACACAAAAAAATTGGGACTCTGCTTGACCAGTAATAAATTGTTATTTTTCATGCACAAGAGGCAACTCACTAGAGCTTGTTTTTTTAGTTCCACTGCCTGTGGAAAGTCAGTGTTGCACATGTGTGTGCTTAGTTCTTTATTCATGGAATACCAATTCTTCTGCTTAATCACTTGGGCCCTGTAGCTGAAGCCTGATCTTCCCCAATGCCTGATCTTCCCCAATGCAAGTCTTGCCAACTAACTCTTCTCTCCTGCTGAGTGTCAGGTGATAAACTGACTGGATGTTGCTGCTTTCTTGTTTCCAGATATTTCTGTCCAAAAGGGGAACAAGACAATTGTTAAATAGAACAAGACAATTGTTGGGAGCTGAGAACAGAGGCAAATTGAGGGGAGTGCAACTGTTTTGGTCACACTGGGCACGGAGCTTCAGGGGCACTGCAGGGGACGCCCCAACTATTCTTTAGAATGAAGCACAAGAATTATGGGGAGCCGCTCAAATTGATGACCCCAAGGTCTACCACTGCTCCCAATCTTGATGCATACAAGTCATTACCAATGATACCTGGCAGTCAAAACAAGCTGCTAACAACCAGGTCCTGAGCTCAGAAATTCCCTGTGCACACAAGTTCTGAGTTCATCATTCTGAATGATTGCTTATGAGATCTGGACGCTCCAGTCATGTTTATTATTTGCTCTCCCCCTCCCCCCGTGGTACAGGTAGTTCACACATCACACCTGTTCACAGGTGCATCCATGAAGTCAACAATAGCCTGCAGCCATGGACATTTTCTGTCTGTGTCATCCATGTATCCTTAATACAAGTACATTTTTTCTGCATTTGAACTAGACACCTGTTATTTGGGAGGTTTCAGGGAAATGCAAGAACAGCGTTTCAAATGTGCAAGAGCTCAAGTAAAACAAGTCACACATTTCTGATCAGGGAAATAAAAAAACATGCCATTAAGCAATATAGTGAAATGTTGCATTGCAGCCGGCAGCCTCAAACATTCCTGTGTACAATGCTTAAGAAACAGGTGACAATTTCCTTAGGGTTCATGTATTCAGTGGATGCAGATTGCCTATTATCATTCTGAAATACTGCGAGGAGCAAATTGAGATATTGTCCTGACAGTGGGCGGACTAATGGAATCTGGTGACTTTAAATAAAGTGTGCAAGTTATTTTGTTATAATACCATAATAGAAATGTCATATGTCTGACAGAAGAAAAAAGGAGGAGAGAGTGTGAGAGAGCAACTGTCAATGAATAATAATGAAGTTATTTAAATGCCAAGATCTTTGGGAGGGGGAAAAACATGGTACAAAATAAAAATTATTCTGGGTATGTATAACAAGGTTTGAGCTAAATTTATCAGGCAGGAGCTGGGTGGGTGGAGAGCAAGGTTAGCGCTGGTATAGTTATATAAACCATAAGGGATGGGAAGATCAGGAAGTCATTATTCTCATTGTTTTATTTCCCCTTGGAAAAACTCCCGAAATAATGTTGAATCACAGGTATAAATTTGTGGTTTAAATTTACCCCTCTTTCATTATTAGATTTGTAATTTGCTCTGTGCACACCAGTTTTAAATGAAACAGATGGATTTTATGTCCCTCAATAGGCCAATGATAAACACAAAAATCATAAATGAGCCTAAGGAACAAAATGAGGAGACCTGCAAAATGCAGGGTTTAAAATTATTGCTCTTAAGATCCACAGCCCAATCCTGTGCCTGTCCAGAATCAAATTCCTCATGGTCCAATTAACTGTGCAGCAGCATTCTCCAACATGGCGCTTGCAGGCATAGCACCCAAAACACACACCATGGCACCCACGTAACACCAATTCTTGCCTAGACGCATTGTCTGCCATTTTATTTCTGAGCCGAAATCAAGTCACAGTGTGTATGAGTGCGGGTGTGTGATTATTAGCAAGTTTTATTAGGTAAAGGTAAAGGGACCCCTGACCATTAGGTCCAGTCATGGCCGACTCTGGGGTTGCACACTCATCTTGGTCTATAGGCCGAGGGAGCCGGCGTTTGTCCGCAGACAGCTTCCGGGTCATGTGGCCAGCATGACTAAGCCGCTTCTGGTGAACCAGAGCAGCACACAGAACGCCGTTTACCTTCCCGCCGGAGCGGTCCCTATTTATCTACTTGCACTTTGACGTGCTTTCGAACTGCTATGTTGGCAGGAGCAGGGACCGAGCAACGGGAGCTCACCCTGTCACGGGGATTTGAACCGCCAACCTTCTGATCGGCAAGTCCTAGGCTCTGTGGTTTAACCCACAGCACCACCCACATCCCTATAGCAAGTTTTATTAGCTATTATTAAAAGCATAATGTGTGCAGGTGTGTGCCTTTTAGGTATTTAGGATAAAAATATTGAAATTATTGAAATCCATAGAAGCATTCCTGATCTTATGACTGCTGATGAGTTCATGTTAAAAATATCTCTCTGAAACACTTCTAACATCCCAATGCCCATCAAAACCTAATTCTTCTAACTATAGCAAAGATGCACTAAATAAGTATTCGGCTATTAATAATTGATTGATTGATTGATTAAATTTATATCCCACCCTTTGCCTCAAAGGTACCCAGGGTAACAAACACAGAAAAAAGTAAAACAATACAATTAAAAATAAAATAAAAATTATATTTTAAACATTTAAAAACAATAAAAAATTATAAATACTTTTAATACTGTTGCGTTGAAAATTCATTGGAGTAGGGATAGCTGGCAATTCTGAACCAGGTTCTTAGTTGATCTGATGACCTTCAAACTTTTCTAAATGTCTGATTTTTTGCCAACAATTATTTCTGAATTTAATGTACGCCACTGTTCACTCAGATGTATGCCAGATAGCTAGCATCTGTGTCTAGACGCTTTCAATATGTGAGTTTCTCCCACTGCTTAATTTCTAAAAAGCAGTGGTAATAGGATTCAGGGGTGTCTAGATGCCATGTTCTCATCCTAGGAAACATTTCTATCTCAAATGTGTGCAAATTGGTGTTTTTAATTAAGGATCTCTTAACTTTGGACACAATTTCAGCATCCAAATGGCTATGTAGCCGCCAAATAGGCAGAATATAAATACTGTAAATAGTCCCATATCAAATGTATTATGGAGGGCAAAACCAAGGCCTTTTAATAATTCTACATGCCCAGTGCATTTTGAGGGAGAATCCTCCTTATTGGCACCTATAAGGTATACACTATTAAACTATGCAGGTTTCCGTCAGGGGAAAAAACATGCTTTAATTCAGATACCCACACTCCATCTTCATATTTAAATATACACAGCAAGATGAATCAAATCATGGATGTCAGTCATTTGGCACTTAGCAAGATATCTATTGTCTTGGTTAGCCAACTCTGTAATAATCATAGTCTTATGAACAGTCATTGAATAGACAGCGAAATGACCTGCAAAAATAGAACAATGAAGTAGTTGCTAAGCTGTCATGATATCATTTTCTTTTTCCAATATGAGCAAGCGTTTTCTTTACTGAGCAAACATCTTGAATTGTAGCACTTGGCTTGAGTGGAATAAATCCGCTACGCTATCTCAACATGATCTTAAGGCTGAGATTGGTATCTGGCAAAGAAGTAACTCAGTCTCTTGTTGTCATGACACTTGGCATTTACGACAAACATTACCACCACCTCTTAGAACTAGATTAACATTTCTTATTGTAGGCGTTTATGTTGGAATGGCATCGGGAGGATGCAATTTTAATTTTTCCTAATCCAATTTAAATGCAAATGTTAACCACTCACATGATGGCATGTGTACATAATTAAGTGTCATTATATACTACACGAATCACTCAGAAAGCTCCAGAGAGCTGTTTTGCTGCATGTCTAAACTTGGAAACCAGCCAAACAGTTTACATCTTAGTTTTGCTTTGGTGTTTATGCTTACTAAAGTTTTCTTAAATTACAGGTCAACAGATTATGGGACAACATATGAAAAACTGAATGACAAAGTGGGTCTGAAGACCATTCTTAGCTACCTCTATGTTTGCCCAACTAATAAGCGCAAGGTAAGTGGCAACATATTATTGGTTTAACCCTGACAGAAAATTTACATTAATTATTAGTTAATATTTACATAGTGTTACCAATGTTCCTGAATAACAAACAAACAAAAACAAGTAGTTTACAGTTTAGATGGTCTTGTACCTTCTTTTTAATGTTCATTGCATCCTGGTTCTCATGCTGCTTTTTGACGAATGGCACTTTCATAATACTATATAGCCCTTTTTAATCATTCAGTGAATGCATGGATAGGGAGAATGTTATCTCTTCCCTTATCTTCACTCCCATCTCCTTGTATTAGGTACATGTCCATGTATTCAAGTGAAGGTGAGAACAGAGACTTACAGGTGTATAACATATGCACATTCAGGAACCATGCAAATGGCCAGGTCCCTGATCATAAATATGAAATATTCATATGTACGTGCGTCTGCACCTGCATAGAGCTCTTTGCGCAAATGCAGATGAGCATGTGGGTGGCAGGGGAAGAAAGCAGCATTGCAACCCTGCTCCGTACACATTTAGTGTATGAGTGGAAAAGATGTAGACATGGCCATGCTTTCTTCCAGCCTGAAGCTTTCGTCTTGGTGTTCTACTGAAATGGCATGAGAAACATCCTAGTGAGACTATAGGATGGGAAGTGATTTCATAGATCCAGCCAATGAGGAGCTGCATAGGGAACCCCTGAACTTTCCTTTTTGACATCATTAGCCCAATCCCTAGCCTCACTTTCTGCAATATAGCCTTTGATGTTTTCCATTTGACTCCTTACCATTTGACTCCACTGAAGTGTGTTAATCCTTTGCTTACTTTATACTGCAATATTGTGGGGTTGTTTGGTTAAAACATTTTGGTTAAAACATGTTAAAAAAAAACAGGGCTAGTCACAAACCGTATAATACATACTGAATAAATTTAAGAAGTAGCCAGATGCAGGAGAATGAAGAGCTACAAGATGCTTGATGAAATACATCCCTGGAAAGCAAGGAATTTTGCAATGTTATTATGACCTGTGTATGTGACACATGATTAACCAATTAAAAGTTATCTAGAAACATTGCCAAAAATGTGTTCTTTCTAAACAAAACAAAACAAAAACCTGCAACATTTCAGATATGCAAAATTGTTATTGTATTCAGATTCACATGTCTCGTATTCTTTAACAGTGTTGAATTTGGGGATAAGTTTGGGGATAAGTTTGATTCACTCATACTGAAAATGCACAAGATAAATAGTATGAAGCCTGAAGTTATTTTGTTTCTTCTTGAATTAGGATGAACTCATTGTTGGGAAAGGGAAACGGCTCATTAAGATGTTAGAGCCTCATCTATAGAGGCCAGATTGTATTTAAAGTTGTTTGCCTTTTAAGTACTCCCAATAGTGAGCTGAAAAGGATTTGACAAAATCCTGCAGAGAAAATGCATCCCAAAGCCCGGAAGGTTTTAATCATACGAGCACCCCACTGAGCAACAATTTATGAGGGATTTGTAATACGGGAAATGCTCACAAAAGAGGGATAGTTATTGTTGCTGTTTTCTCCTCGTGTACATATGAACAGTTTATCTTGCTTAGGACAGACAAGAAGTTTTAAGAACACTGAAAATAATTTGGGAAAGGCTTCACTTCCAGGGCCAGCCTTACTATTTGCTGGGAGCAGCTGTTGGGGGACAAAGGTTGTGTGCCTGTCTTGACTCCCCAACCCATGTGAGGAAAGGAGACCTGTCCAAACAAGAGTTTGCCCCTCTAGTTTGCCTTTCCCTTCCTGTGAACCCCACCAGCTGAAAGACCTCCTTTTCCCCTAGCTGCCTCCACCTTGGTTAGTTACTGGATCACCTCAAGAACATCTTTAGTCCATGTGTGGGTTTGGCTTTTAAGCATGGGTTGAGCAACTACAGAAAAGAGGCCACAAAGCTTGATAAAAGGGGGAGGGGGTTAATCTTGAAAAGGTTTCAATATATTAATAGTTACATGCACACAAACAATCCAAGAGGACAAAAAGATGTTGAAAATAAATGAGGATAAATGCAGCCAGCTATTAATATCTCAACAGTTTCTACTAGCTAAAATTCCTTTTAGCAAAATTCTTTCAGTCAGAATTCTTAGGATCTTATGTCAGGCCACTCTCCTTCCTCCTGCACCAAGATTGATCTTCCAAGAACCTCAGATCCTTCATCTCCACAAGTAGCTCATATACCCCCAAGCTACTCCCCGCCCCCCCCATAACCCAATCCACAAACCAACCAATATCAAAAAGTATGCTTTTGCGTTTCACAGACCAGACTACTAGGAATTCACACTTTGCCTCATTATTTTCTAACACCTCCTGATATGGTTATATGCCTGCCAAGGTTGACTCTAGGAGGCAAACAACCCCCATAATTCCCAAACTAAATTATATACAAGATTGTCATGTAAACTGTTATGCCAACGAGCCAGGTATGCTCAGGTGCCGTGGAGGAAACTATCATATTGTCACTGTTGAGGTAGGATACACCTGCCAGTCTAGTCAGCATCTTTCTGTGGAAGAGGGAGATATTTTTCCCTTTGCCTCAGGCAGCAAAATGTTTTGGGCTGGCACACAAAAACATTATTTATTATTTACACTCACGTACAACCTGTTTATTGATAGCAAACTCATTGTGGACCCAGGCATAGAGATCCTTCAGCCAGTGGGGCCCAAAGAGAGGGCAATAAAGACAGATACCTAGAAGAGGGCAGAACGGGGGCAGGGCAGGGGTGGGGCGGGGTGGAACAGTGGCATAATAGGGCACAGTGAGGTGGCACAGACTTATGTGCACGCCACAGACATGCACAAGGGCCAGGAACAGAACCCCCAAGCAAAATGGTTGACGTCTGTATATGCATTTATTGTCCTTTGACTGGCATAAATTTAAAGTTTTAAATTTATTCCAAAACTTTGAATGAATTATATGGAAATGTCACACAGCCTAAGAGCTAAACAATACAATAGAACCAACATCATTCAATAAATTAAATAAAGAAGAATGACTTGAACAGGAAGTGTTAGAAATTTTATTTTTAAATAATCAACTTTAGGAAGCAAGTATAGATTGCTAAAAGTAACCATGATAAGTGCTGATGTTTTGTTTTGATTGCTCCAGTGGAATGGATCCTGGTGTTGAATGAATGGTTCTTCCTTGTGTCTTTAAGTCAGTGGTTCCAAATTAGGGATCTGGGGACCGCTGGGGGTTCGCGGAACATATCCAGGGGCTCCTTGGGACGATCCCCTGCCAGGGACTCACTTCTCTTGTTAATTGCAGAGTGAAAGCCTTACACATATCATCCAGCCTCTGCTCATGACCAGTGTCTGCTTGCTGGCAAAGGAAAAACTTGTGAACGAGTTGCTGGATTGCAAGTGAGCTGGGATTGGGCGCAAACCTCTGACACAGTTTCTTAAGGTGCTTACAATTGGAAAGGAGAGGGGCGAGACAGTTCAAACAGCTCTATGTGACCTCTATGTGGGCATCTGGAAAGAGAATGAGCAAGCATGCCTGGAGTATACCCAAGAGATTGTCCTGTTCCTGACTCACCAGCTCTGGGAGTTCGAGATGGCTCCACATGGCCCTTAAGCAGCTGTCAAGCAGGAAATGGAGGAGGCAGGTTTATGCTCAGATGCAAGTTGATTCCCCACTTCGGACATTCCTTGTCTGACAGTGCCATGACACATGGGAATCATCACAAAAAAGAGGCAATTGTGGCTGAAGCTCTTGGCCAAACAGATCCCAAAGGGATTGGCACACCCAGCCATCATTGCCATCCTCTGAATCTGAGGTGGGCATCAAAGAGCATCCTCTGAATCTGAGGTGGGCATCAAAGAGCAGGGGAATCTAAGCAGCTCTGATGCAGCAGTGGGATTAAGCCAGGAAAATGCTAGGAGCCTGGGTGTCATCCCAGCTTGCATGGCACTGAGCCTTAGAAGCCTCACCCTCCAACTCCCAGTTGTGTGGAAAGGGAACCCCGCAGTCAGAGATGTATTCATAGTAGGGCAAAGTGGCACTTGTTGCCACCTCAAATTTCTTGCCACCTCAAACTGCAACAGTTGCCCTCTTGTAAATGTGTCTCTGAATGCAAGGTACATTAACTACAGCTCAAAACTAACTATAGTTTCTTGTTAGAGTCCAACAAAAATTAATAGACCTTATTTATTAGAGTAGTAGTCTTATTGAAAGCCACAGGCCGTAACTGATTTTCACCTGAATTTTGTAATTTGTTTGGTTTATGCTAATTTGTTGTGGGTACTTTTAATATACCACACCTTGTTTTAATGTAACAGCTGGGTGACAAAACTGTCAGATCTCTTGTCAGTTTTACAGTATTCCGACACTGTGATTCTAATATTTATTTGACCAGCATTCCCTAAGTAATATGTTGCATATAAATGCACATTGACATATTTTGAAAAGCGTCTGCTGTGGTCTGTGAATGCCAATCTTCTCTTTAATGTTTTTATATTCCACCTTTCGTCTCTCTCTTTCTCTCCCTCCACCCCCAAAATAAGCACAGGTTGTGTTTTTTTAAACAAGATATTCCTGGCAATAAATGAATCTGTAGTTCCCGGAGGGTTTTATGAGACATAAAGAAGAAAACATTATTTACCATTTAAGCTGCTGATCAGTCACTATTGGGGTTTTATTTGGGTAAATTACAACATCTTCTTTTGGATCAATCTATAATAATAGAAAACAATAATCTAATAATACTGAGGGGTATAAACCTTGGAGATATAAAAGCCACAGAAAACATGTTTACAGGCAAATAACTCTCATCTTGTTGAAATACGGTGCCACCTGGCCCTGTGATTTATGACATGGGAGAATGGGGGAGGGGAGAGGGAAACCTCAGTTCTGACAAAAAAAAAAATCTGCCTGCATGATTATTTGTCAACAAGTATCCAGAAGAGCGAATCCCAAATGTCCAATACATTTCTTATCTGGTCCGGTCTTCTTCTAATGGGCTGTTGCAATGAGAGAGGAGAAAACATATA